GGAAAGGGCCCAGAACATTCCACTGGAGTAGAATCAGGGAAGAGCTGGTAGAAAAGACGAATCAGAAAGCGTCAGCTATGAAAAGGCTTTGATCAACAGGACACCATGAAGCCTGCTGTCCCAGGATGGAGGATGAGCACATCATTCTCCATCTGCATGACCCAAGATGATCCCAACGTTCCCTCGACACTCCTCAGGACTCCCTGGAACCGCTGGCTTCTCACCCTCCCCATCCTCCAACTCTGCTCAGTGGTTCCCTTACACCCTAGCTCTTGCTGCGTCTTTCCCTCGGCAGCATCCATGTGCGACCTGTCACTGAACACGTATTCCTTGTTGATACTGATGTGACACGTCAGTTGAGAGATCCAAGTGACAGTCATTGTGCTGTAAGTTTCTTAACAGCATCCCAATTCGTGCTCTGTTTGTAGAGCCACCACATCATTTGGCAAGGCTGTCCTAATGGACAGTGGAAGCTTATTGTGTCACTGTTTTGGAAACTGCAAGTCTGACATCAAGTCTTCTCACTGGCTTGCAGCTGTCCCGTCTGTTCTCTGTATCTTCTCATGGTCTTGCCTATGTATATCTGTGTCCTAGAGGACACTAGTTAGATTGCATGGGCCTGCCTGTGTGTGCTCATTATAACCTAATTCTTTAAAGACTCTACTTCCAAATATAGTTACATTCTGAGAATTCCTCAGGTGTTTGAACATCAACAAATACATTTCTGGAGGGGATACAGAGGAGTCCATAACTGCTGGCATTTTCTCCTGATAACTCTTTTTCTCTTTTAAGAGTGTCATCACAGTGTGTGTGTGTGTGTGTGTGTGTGTGTGTGTGTGTGTGTGTGTGTCTGTTTATAAACATTATCTTTTTTTTTTTTTTTTTTTTTGGTTTTTCGAGACAGGGTTTCTTTGTGTAGCTTTGCGCCTTTCCTGGAACTCACTCTGTAGACCATGCTGGCCTTGAACTCACAGAGATCTGCCTGCCTCTGCCTCCCAAGTACTGGGATTAAAGGCGTGGGCCACCACCACCTGGGCCCCTTATTTTTCTTTTGTTGTTGTTGTTGTTGGTAGATAAGCAGATCTGGATCACACATCTGGATGACCTGAGTTGACCCAAGTGTGCTCTTGACACCCCCTCAAGACTTCCTAGAACCCCTAACTTCTCACATTCCTCATCCTCCAATTCTGCTCAGTGGCCCCCTTACACCCCAGCTCTAGCCTGTGTCTTTGACTTGGCAACACCCTGGTGCCTTCCTCTCCAACACTCACGTGGGACCCGCTGCTACCCGAATCTTCATTGTTGATACTGATGTGGGATGTCAGCACTCAGATCAATGGCAGCAAGGCTGCCTCACACTGAGTTGGCGTCTGGAGATGCCAGTGTGGCATATGTCTTGCAAGACAATGTGTGAGCCGGGGGGGTGGAGGGGGAGAGGTGATTGGCACATTTACAGTGGGGAGCTAATTCATATTGATGGAGAGAAACCTCGGAGGAGCTGAGTAATATACTTTCTTTCTTAATCTGGTTTCCACACTCCGTGGCTGAGATGGGCAAGGAAGAGGATGGACTTGACTCTCAGTGACTCTAAGAAGCTCTGGTCAAAGGACGTGGGGTAGCATAAACCTCACTCTCTGGGTGGAGGCGGTCTTTCTTCCAAAGATGCCAGATCTCGAGGATGATCAGTGTGTGATGAAATGTTGTGTTGATCAACAGAGCCCAGACCCCATGGTTGCTTCTGCAAAGACAGGAAGGGGCTGCTGCTGCCAGAGTATCTGGAAGTGAAACTAGGTCTGAGAGCTATGTGGGTGGGGGAAGGAGGAGGGAGAAGATGCAACGTCTGACATCCGTGAGTAAATGACTGTGTGCACAATTCTACAGCTCTCGGGCTTAGTTCCAAAGGCACAGACAGTAGGAATAAACATTGTGGAGGGAACCTCTGCATGGCATTTAGAACTGGCCATTTCCCTGCCTCCCACATACACCCTCTGTCCTTGGGAAGCCTCCTGCTCTGCTAGGCACCTTGTGACCCTCACCCGGTCTGTGTTTTCTGCCCCTGAATCTGCCTCAGCTACCTTGGATAACCCTGCCTCACCCTCTGCTGCACGAAAGGAAACTTCCCAGCATGTGTCCCCTACTCACGGCGCCCTTAGGAATTTCATTCCACCTCAAAGGACTGGCTAAGTCTTCTTCTCCCACTCCCATCTCTCTGAGACCACCCGGTCTATATTTCCAAGAGGAGGTTTGCTTACAGAGGTGGGCCTCAGTCTCAGCTACCCAGGATGAGGAGAACCCAGGAATGTGGCAAGTGGGATGCCTTAGCTGGTCAAGTGCCTGGGCACAAGCTTCAGGATCGAACTGTCATTTCCATCACCTTCATAAGAAAGAGGCCAGGGGTGGTGGCATGAACTTGTGATCCCAGCACAGAGGAGGTGAAGATGGGCAGATCTCTGGGGATGGCTTGCTGAGCAGCCTGGCTGAAGCAGAGAGCTTCCTCCCTCCACCCCACCAACACACACACACCAGAAAAGAAAATCAGGCAGCCTTGGAAAAATTTAGTAAGCACCCCCTCATTACCTGGCCTTCACCCCCAGACCCATTAAAAGGGAATCTCTGGGGTAGAAACCAGACCTTGAGACTTTTCAAAGATGTATTTTATCTTCTTACTCAGGTAGAATTGTTTCTTCCCTGACCTCCCACAGAATTTTGTGTGGACTGCTTGAGAAAGCTGATGTGTCTTAAGTCTGGCTCAAGAACCAGACTCTGAAGCCCGGGAGCTTGGAGCAATTTTGTTAATTTCTCTTTATCCCATTTCCCTCAAACCCCCACCCCCTACGACAGAGTTTCTCTATGTCACCCTGGTTATCCTGGAACTCGCTCTGTAGACCAGGCTGGCCTCGAACTCACAAAGATCCGCCTGCCCCTGCCTCCTGAGTGCTGGGATTAAAGGTGTGCACCACCACCACTGGCAAATTTTCCTCATCTTTAAGATGGGTCTGCGAGCTTAATGCTAGCACATCATGAAGACGTTTGAAAATTAAAAGTGAGTCTCAAGTCTGGCATGTAACAAGCCATGACTAAAAGTCAGCTGCTGGAGGTCTGAGTCCTTAGTAAGACCATGAATGATGGATGTCTAATCCAGAGGCTTCTGCCTATGCAAGGACACATAAGTGCTTCCTTAAAAATCACCATTGGGCCCTTCTTCCCCGGCACTGTGATCCCAAAGTCTGCAGGTGGAGAAGAGCCTGGCTTTCTGAGAAGCTCCAGGCAGTACACTTGCTGCTGGTCTGAGGACTCAGTGCTGAGTCACAGAGGAGTCCACATCTGCTTCTTCCCCCACCTATGCCTCAGCACAGGGAGTGTCCTGAAGCCAACTTTAGATCTTTGCTCCAGCCTAGACTTTAGACACTATTCCCCAACAGCCAACCCGGATCAATTATTAACCCAGCTCCCCCGGGCTCCAGAACTTTCATACTCTAAGCTAGAATCCAACTGCCCCTCACATGCCAATGCAGAGCTTCCAAAGACTGAGATGACTTCTAAAGCAAATATACATTAAATTCAACCCAATCTCCCCATAGTCAGCACCCACCAGGCCTTAAATTAGCGACTGTAACATTGTACAAAATACCAAGACCACTGAAGACTTGCCTTTCAGGCCATTCTAAGGGCTCAGCATCCCAAATCCAAAGACCTGACTCTTGAAAGGCTCTAACATCCAAGCTTCTTGGTCACAAGTATGACACCACAAATGTAAGAATTCACACCAGGTAACTTGACTTCATGCACAAAATTATTTAAAAAAATATAGTATAAGGTTACCTTCAAGCTATTTTTAAGAAGTGAGCATAAACATTAAGTGAATTTTGTTTATACACTTGAGTCTTATCCCCATTGTGTGTCAATATTCTAAAATCTAGACAAAGAAATCAATAATCCAAAATACTTCTAGTGCCAATTTGGGTAGGGGGCCTTCAATCTTACTTGAGTGAAAGAGACTCTGTTTCTCTCTTGCCTTGCCTCACAGACCTCATAAAACTCAGCAGCTTCCAGAATTCTGGGTCTTGTTTCTGGTATCCCATGATTTAATCTCTCCAATTGTCAGGTTGCCTCTCTATGGCCTTCAGCCAGGGCCCTGCACTGGCTTCACACTATCTACATTTTCTTATTTTCTTAGAACAGCACAGGGCTCCATTCCTGTGGTCGTGACCCTCATTATAGCTTTCTCAGTGAGAGTTCAGTGTGTGTGTGTGTGTGTGTGTGTGTGTGTGTGTGTGTGTGTGTGTGTGAGAGAGAGAGAGAGAGAGAGAGAGAGAGAGAGAGAGAGAGAGAGAGAACATGCTTATGCATGTATATGCATGTGTACATACATGTACGTATGTGTGGAGGCCACAAGTCAACTTTATTTTGTGAGTCATTGTCTCTCACTGAAACCATAGCTCACCAACTGACTGTGCTGACAGGCTGATTTCAAGGGTCCACCTGTCTCTGCCCTCACCCCACAGTGCTGGGGTTACAGACACATGCTGTACCATACCCTGCTTTTCCATGAATGCTAAGGATCTGAGCTCAGGTCCTCATGTTGTGACTGGGTTTTCTCCCCAGCCCCCTGGGCCTTTACCGTAATTATCTTTCCTGGGAAAGGACGCCCAACCACGCCACCACTGTGCTTGGTCCTTCTCCCTGAGCTGTAGATTTGGTTCTTAACTCTGTGCAGCCATGCTATACACCTCATTACATCCTCCCTGGAAAGCCTTATTTTGTTTCCATTTTAGCTGAAGGCCATTAGACTAAATACTGTACACATTATTATCTCGTAAATGAATTTCCTCCAACAGTTTTCGTATGGAAGGTCAAGGCCCAGTGAGCTGGAATCCCAGCCCTTGGATCGACTCTCCACCCAAGCAACACTACATCTCCTCCTTCTCAAATCAGCATCGCTCCCACAGGGATGCGGTCTTCTCTCAGTGGCAAATGCTCATTTGTTGTAATGAATTCAGCTCTTGCAGGCCGTTTTCTTTGGGGTTGCCTGCCTGGATGATGTGCTGAAAAGAATCATAGGAAGGAAAGACATCAAGTTCATCACATCCTTCAGAGATCTGCTTTTTACGACACTGGCTTTTCCTGTCTCCACAGTAAGTGCCCGAATGTGTATCTCACACCATAGGCATGTACAATGGATGGTCACTTCTCCTGGAACAGTAAGGTTGTCTGGGGACAAGTTATTATAACTAGAGCATCTCCATTTCCATAAATGTCCTGTCTGGGGACTGACTACATTGACTGATGTCTTTAGGAAGTAGGGTACGTGACGGATGAGCTTATCATTAACTTTCTGTCTTTGTGAAGGTTTTGTGCATGGTCCTTGCTGCTGCTGATAGGAAAGTTTAATCAAAATACAGTTAAAAGAAATAGTCTCCACGTTTGCACAGTTTGCACCCACAAATTCAACTAAGGATCAGAAATATTTGACAAATAAATGAAAATCAAATTAAAAATACTTATAACAACCATGTAACATTTACATTGTGCTGGATATTATAAACAGTCTCTCGGTGATTTAGCACACACAAGAGAGTGTATATGGGTCCTAGGCAAATGTGATTCCATTACATATACAGGACTTAAGCATCTATGGATTGGAGTATCCTTGTGAATGCTAAGAGATGACCGTATCAATGGGACAGACTTGCTTTCATCATGACTGTGGGAAGGAGAGGCCTAGGTGGGGAAAATTATCACATCTATACATTCAGAAAGCTATCAAATAAAAAAATTTGAAAAAAAAAAAGACATAAGACTTTTGAAGTTGGCCCGTGGAAAGCACACACTGGAGAGAATGGCAACCCGATGCAGAACACAGGACAGGTGCTTCACGTGCTGTGGATGGACAGAAAGCAGGAACAGCAAGCCACGCACAAGCAGAAGTAAGCTGGTTTGCTAGTGCTGCCCACACTGCCATTACACTGTTTATGCTTCAGCTCATAAGCTGGGATGGAGACAGACTGAGATCACACACGGGGCTGTGCAGCAGGGCCTGGGATTAGAAATCACTCTTTTATTTCGCCCACCATGGTCCTGCTTTCTGTGGCATGGAGACTTCAAAACCAAGTGCAGAATGAAACTTTCTATACCTCCAGTGAGTTCTCAGATGGAGCAAGCACTTAGCATTCCAGGTTTCTTTGTGGAAAATCTCCACATCTACTCTCAGAAAATCTTCTACAGTTCAAGATGTTAAAAGGAACAGTGGAGTCTGTTCATTTGTCTTGCAAATTGAGCCTGTGCATGTTCAGAAGGTGGTGTGATGGGGGAACTAATAGCCTGTCCCCTCATCGTAGCACAGACCCTCACAGAGGGCAGACGGTGATAGGACATTCAAGGGGTACAGTAGACACACATAAATCCAAAGTTCTGAGCAATGGAGAGATCAACTCTCACTTTCCTAGTTTACAAATGATCTAGTGCTTAGCCCTACTCCAAGCCTCCCTGTTGTCCTTTGCCATGACTACTTAAAGGGGGCAAGGGGCAAGGGACATATGCCAAGCTATTCCATATGCTCATTCACAGTACTCTTGGTATGAGCTTAGATGAGAGAGAGGTCATTGGTGACGATGAAGGACTCGAGGTCTATGCATCCTTTTTATCTGTGTCTTCTCTGCACGCCACTTCTCTGCACTTCTAACCCATTGAAGAATCCCCAGAGAGCCAGGATACACTGTTATAAAATAAGCATTTCCTCTTTCCTTTTATGTCCCTAAAATGTATATCCGATGTCCTTCACATCACCATCCATTTTTATGTTGCTGTTTCCTTGGTTAGCTTAGAAACCTCTGATAAAAAACAAATCTAATAATAATACTTTTGTGTTTCCTCTCCAGTTTGTATTCCTGGTATTCTGGACCCTCTTTCACTATGATCGAAGTCTCGTTTACCCCGAGGGCCTGGATGATTTCTTTCCAGCATGGGTTAATCATGCAATGGTAAGTAGAAAAATAATGAACTCGAACATCAGTGGCTTTTCTACTGAGTGCCAAAGTGCCTGTGTGTGATTCCAAACTGTTCTTCAGTGCCCTCCAGCTCATGCCTGTCTCTCCCTCCTGTCACTATTAAAAAGCGTCCTGAGGGCTGCTAGAGAGATAGATGGTTCAGTGGCTAAAGGTATTTGCTGATTTTCCAGAGGCCTGGGGTTCAGTTCCCCGGAACCTACATGGCTGCTCACAGCCATCTCTAACTACGATTCCAAGGGATCCGATGTCATCTTCTGACCTCCATGGGCACCAGGCATGCGTGTGGTGCACATACATACATGCAGTCAAACGCTCATATACTCAAAATAAAAATAAGCAAACCTTTTCGTTTTAAAGCATACTGGGGATGTAAATGAGCAAAACCTGGTATTGCAGCCAAGGGGGACTCCACTGAAAGCAAGGATGAGGAGCTGAACAGTTGTCATACTGCTTCGAAAAATCACTGAAAAGTTAAGCTATCAGGAAAGGCGACCTTTGGCAGTTCTGAAAAAGAAGTGACTTTTGCCCATGACTAATAATGAAATTCATTTCCAGGAATGGAATAAAGGAAGGTTTAAACAAAATCTATCCCCTTGTCCAAACAATACGTTATTCTAAAGGGCAAAGCAGTGGCCGCTCACTAAGATTCCTCTAGGACTGTGCGTCACAAACAGGATTTGTATTTAAATGTTTCAGGGTGGTTTATCCAGGCATGTATTTTTTCATTGACTCCTGTTTTGAGGAGTTACACAGAAAGCAGAAGCTGCTCTAAGAGGTTTGAGTCACTGGAGTCTGAAGAGTCGACTGTGACCCAGACAAGCAGGGCTGAGCTGGGATCCAGGTCTCCACTGCAGGGCTGAGCCTGACTCATTAGAGCTGGGAGTATAGTCTCCCTGGGCAATCCTGGCTCAGCTTCTCCACACTTACAGATGTATTTCCACACTACTAAGCAGTTTAAATAGGAAGATTTCAGGTTCCAGGAAGCAAGACACAAACAAATCAGGAAAACTCATAAGGGCTTAAAACTCCCAAGTTTACCCAAAGACTTTCTTCTGCCCTTCAAAAGCTGTCATTGTCTCAAAATTCATGAGACAATCAATGTGGAAAAGCTTTGCTGCCCACTAACACTACCCCATGAACCCCAGGCCTGGAAAACACTGTTTCAACATTTTGCTGAGAAAGATACTGACCATTGGCTGAGTTTTGTGCTCTGGTTTCCTCAAGATCCAAATCTACATGTTGAATAATGTTGTTAGTTGGGCTGACTGACTGGCCAACGAGTTTCCAGGGAATATACTCCAAGCCCTGCTGAGGTTGCTGCCACCTTGACCAGCTATTACGTGGGTACCTAGGAGCCAAGCTTAGATCCCCATGCTTGGAGAGCAAGCTCTTTACCAGCTGAACCATTCCTGCACCCCTTTTCTTTAATGTCACATCACACTGTGTTAAACATGTTCCTCGGGAACGAGTTGATTTAATTCACATGTGCATCTTTAGATAAGTACCACAACTTAAGTTTTACAAATGGAAAAAAAAAGCTGAAAGGCCATGTCACCTGCCTGGGGCCAGCAAACTCATCATCCATGGCTCATCTAGAGAGGTAATCCCATAATTGGATGCTAATTCCCTGTTGCCTTTTTACCAAATTCGTGCTTTGATGTAGCCTTATATTTCACCAGGAATCCAAAGGAATAACTAATATGGCAAAGTGAGAATTTTCACTTAGAAAAAAAATCCAGACTCCCCATCTTATGCCAATAAGCCAAAACTCAGAGAAAGTGAGGGGACAGGAAGCATGCACCTACTGGGGCTGGATGCTATAGTATAAGAAGCAGAGCCTTGAAAGTTCTTTTTATCTGGAGCCGAACACACTTACCAAGCATCCTCGCCAAGCTTCATGAGCTCAGCTGCCTTTCCTACAATGACTACCATCTCCCTCCCTCTTCGAGTCCCGCTTACTACTGATGCTTGGATGTCTTCCAGGGAGTTGTGATGCTGATGCCTAATCATGGTGACCTTGATAAGTAAACAGCCATATGGGTGGTTGATCATTTGGGAAGTGAAGAGCTGGATAATAATGTACATCATATCCACGAGCCAATTATTAATAGTAAGACAGATACTGTAGCATGGAGATGCTTAAGCATTTTTGTGCCTCCACAACCTGGGAGGGGGAGAGCAGTGGGTCTGCCCCTTGCTCTTTGTCCTCGCCTCCATCCCTTAGGGAGATCAGGCAAGAGTCGAAGGAGGTGGGCAGGCTGGGTTATAGGAGAAAAGGAGGAGGCAACCTGCTGTGGGTTAGACACTGGTGTTTCCATGTTTCTCTTCACTTAATTGGAGAAAATCCCTGCACAGCCATCTCAAAAAACAAACAAAACAAAACAAAAAACAAAAAAGCCACTATCAACTAACCCACTCTGAGTTTCCTAGTGAAACCGTCTCCAAACATTCTGCTTCTCTTCCATGTTGGCTCCAAACTGAGTGCTTGTGGCTGCATCTCTTCCCTCCAGATATTTTCTGTTCTTACTATTCCATCCTTCTAGCTTGATGCTTTAAGGATGTTCTGTCAAGTTCTTGTTCAAAGGCAGGTAAGGGCTAGAGAGATGGCTCGTTCAATAAAGTGCTTGCTGGACAAGAATGAGACCCCGAGTTCCATCCCTTGCTCCCACATGAAGCTGGGCACAGAGGAAGTTGCTGTGATGTTAGTGTTGAGACAAGTGGATTCCTGGGGCTCATCGCCAACCAGCTTAGCTGAAAAGATGGGCTCCAGGTTCAGTGATACACTGTATCAAATGAAGTGTTGTGCTAGATAGTTTTGTGTCAACTTGACAGGAGCTATAGTCATCTGAGAGGAGAGAACCTCAATTGAGAAAATGCCTCCTTGAGATTGGGCTGTAGGCAAGCCCAGAAACCATTTTCTTGATTAGAGATTGATGTGGGAGAGTCCAGCCCACTGTAGGCAGTAGCATCCCCTAGGCTCGTGTTCTTGGGTTCTATACATAAGCAGGGTGAGCAAGTCATGAGCCGTGAGCCAGTAAGCAGCACCCCTCCATGGCCTCTGCATCAGCTCCTGCCTCCAGGTTCCTGTCCTGCTTGATTTTCTGTCCTGACTTCCTTCAGTGATGAACAGTGATGTTGAAGCATAAGCCAAATAAACTCTTCCCTCCTCAAGCTGTTTTTGGTCATGGTGTTTCATCATGGCAATGGTAACTCTGAGACAAGTGGAAGGCAGACGAGAAAGATGCCTAACATGGACCTCCACGTGCATATGCACACACGTATACTCTTGTGTACACATCTATAGGATTGTGTATGTTCATCTATGTACATATATACCCTCCACCCTTAAAAAACACAAAAACATTACATAGGGGTGGAGAAACAGCTTAGTCAGTAAAGTGTTTACCACGCAGGCATGAGGCTCTAGTCAGATCCCCAGACCCACGTAATAAAACCCGGACGCTGCAGCATATGCCTGTAATCCCAGGGCTGGAAAGGCAAGGATGGGACAATTCCTGGGGCTTCTTCACCAGCCAGTCTAGCCAATCAGTGAGCTCTGAGAGACCCCCGTCACCAAAAACTAAGGTGGAGAACCATCCAGAAAGACAAGACTATATTGACCTCTGGCTTCCATACACATGCACTAACAGGTGCGCGCGCGCACACACACACACACACACACACACACACACACACACACACAAAAGCATGCAGAGATAAGTTGAGAGAATGAGAGGGAGAGATGGGGGAAGAGAGGGAGGTAGTTATTTGGTGCTATGGTTCATACGTAGAGTAGTCTCCAAAGCCCCAAGTGTTGACGCCTGGGTCCCTAGGCCTTTCTGTTTGCAAAGGGTGGAACACTGAAAAGATGGGTGCAAGTGGGAAGCCTCGGTTACTGGTGAGCATGCTCTTATAAGGGATTTTGCAACCCCAGCTTCTGTCCTCTTGGGGTAGAGGTAAGAGATTTCACGTCTCCACATACTCCCTGGCATGCTATGCGGCTCTTCCATGAGTCCAAAAAGTAATTTAGTGAAATGGTCATCAACAGGAACCTCTAAAACTGTGCACCTTGATAAACCTCTTTATCTTCAGAAGCTGTCATCGCAGGCATTTGGTACAGCAATGGGAGCTGACTAGTTAACTGGGTCAATTCGTCAGTCCTTCCCTTTACCAGTGCCCCTCTAAGACAGCCTGAAGAAGATGGTTCAGTGCTGGGAAGCTGGGACCAGAGGGATGACAGGCAGTCTCCTGGACAGTTGGCCTCTGTGCTTCCATGTGGGGCCCACCTGCTCCCTGGAATGATTCCCTCTCTGTACTGCTCCTCCTTTCTCTCTGCCATATAATAACTGTGACGTCACCAGAGCCCTGGGACACTGAAAGCTTCCTTTACAGCATCCCGTATGCTGACTTGATGCTAACTTTCTTTTTGCAACAGTTTCCTTGTCATTATCTGTGTTTCCAGTTTTGTGGCACTCCCCCTCTGACACCATATTTCGAGATGCTTCAGGACTGATTGAGTCTTTGCGATCTTCCTGCCCAGTGCTTCTGACTCTCTGGAAATTTGTTGTTCCTGTAGGACCCTTCAGAGTGGACTGCCACTGTTGTGTTCAACAGATATTTTTCTGTCCCTGTTACATTTTCTGACCAAACAGTAACCTCAGAAGGATGTTTGCATCCACATGGACAGGCTGCCATCACTGGTGACAGCCAGGCTGCCTTCGCTGAAGTAGATTGTGTTATTGCTGAGCAGTCTCTGCCTTCATAAAAGAAGGAAAGGAACAGCAAAGCATTCCTTCAGGGTTTGCCAGGAAAGCATTAACTCCTCAGGTCTTATCTAAATGCTTACTAAAGATAGAACCAGAGCAGACAGATTTAAGTAACAGGAAGAGGCTCTTAGTAACTGAGAAATAAGGGCCCTATCCTGCATCGGAGGGCAGCTGGGGAAAGCATTTCTCTGGAAATCAACCTGCATT